TAGAATCATCAAGGTTGCAAGAGACTTTTCAGACCATTAAGTCCAATTGTCACCCAGCACTACCACTGTAACCCCTAAACCACATCATCCAACACTAGGGGTGGTGACTCCACCACTGCCCTGGGAGACCTATTCCAGTGCCTGACCACTCAAACAGTGTAAACATTTTTTCTGATATCTAATCTGAATCTCCCATCTCAGATAAAGGCCATTGCCTCCAGTCCTCTCACTGCAGGCATAGTAGAAGGTCACAATATTCAGAGATCCACATAGGATGGAAGGTTATTTGTTTGATGGTGCAGATGTCAAAGGATCTGTTAAGAGAAAAAAACCCAGCATAGCTGAACCAGAGAACTTTCGAAGTATAGCATGTCTGGATTCCATGAGAAGGGTGGCAATATGCCTGCACTTCTTGTTTCACTTTCATTTGAAAGCTGAAAAGAAGTTCACCTTAAACATAGAGTCTTTAAGGGGAAAGATGTGACTGCTCTCAGGACAAAAAACAGGGAATGATCTGTGCATAAGACAAGCCACTGGCTTCAGGTGTGCTCTGCTCTGGACAATGGTGGCAAAAAGAGAAGCAGATTATTCTATGAATGAGCCTTTAAAGAAACCACAGAGTGCATCCGTAAGGAAAGAAAAAATGAAAATAGGACTCCTGGTGTGTACTTGTTGCCAGGTATTCTGCATAAAATATTTTCTTGGGCACAGTTGATCACTAGGGGAAAGAGACATTGAGGAAAGTAAGAAAAACACAGTGGTGGCTCTCCATACTTCAATTCCAGTTATCCCATCAACTTCTGAAGCAGCCAAAATCCAAGGAGAGGTAAAAGAAGGTAAGGGAAAACCTTAGGAGTCCTGCTGTGGCTCCCTCACTGCATGTCACAGCAATATCCACTTGCAGAGCTGTGCAGCCTGCACGGCTCTGTGCCAGCCACAGCCAGCCCTGATGCAGCCGGGCTGAGGGAGCCAGTGCCCAAGGGCCAAAGACTGCTCTGCCTCTGTTTCACTCCCTTACCCTCTCTCAGAAAAAGAACTGCTCCAACTCTGCAGGACAAGATCCAGGCAGGAAAACTAATGAAGATGGGGACCACAGCATTCCCACATCCCAGTGAGTTCAACATCAAATATCCCTAGGTATGACCTCCCCAGTCCTTCAGCAAAACACAGATATGCTGTCATGTAAACTTGGGTATAATTCTGACTTTCTGACTTAGGAATGACAGAGGTGCCTAATGGCTTTGCAAGTGAAGAGTTTATGTGGATCAAGCTGACACTGGCTGGTGACACCAGGCACAAGAGAGCAAAACTGATACAACAGAAGAGCAAGGACTCTGTATACTATGGGGAATAGCTACATCTCGAAATGGCTTTCCATATTTTCAGCAAAGGAGTTCAGCAGAAGCACTGAGAAAGTTATCTGAAGAGGAGCACAAATGCAGATCCTCATAAAGACAAGTGTGCATGCACAAAATTACACATTCAAAACAACTAAAAGTGCTGAGCAAGGTCGATCTGTTGGGTTGGGGTGCAACATGTGTAAAAGCATAGCATGCACCTTTAGCATGATGCTTCTCTTTCTGGATGTCAAGAGCTTCAAGGAAACTGGCACAGTAGCTGCCCTACAGCTGCAAACAGGTAGAGTGAAGCAGGGAATGAATAGAAGCATCTTCCTGCCCCTAATTGAAGTATTTACAAGCACGGGAGGGATGTAGATCAGACTGTAGTATTCTCAAAGAACGAGGACTGAAAGGACACATCAAAATTCTTGAAATTAACTGAAAATGAGCTGTTTTCATTTGGGCCAAAAGTAAAAATGAAGCGTTGTTTCTTCAGCCTGGTTCACAACAAAACAAATCTTAGAAACAGCAATTATGAGAATGACATCAAGCCAAGAGAAAAAATCTTAATGCTGAATGAATATGTAACACAGATATTTAAACCTGCATAACCACACATTCAAATACAACTTATTTAAAGATGTGGTCCAAGGCAGAAACTGCAACTGTTTAGTCACTTGTAACCATAATTTATCTTCCCTCAGGAAGCCAATAAGCCAAAGCAATAAAGAATATATACAAATATATTGAATGAAACTTACAAATTCATCAAGTCTGCTTGCCAAAACCTCGTGAAGATCTACACAGCTTATATTTTAAGCAGACTATTTGTCTGCTTTCTGATTTACAACCCAAACCTGCATACACCTTTCTCTAACTGAGATGAGAACTCTGTACAAAATCAGAATAAAGTATGAAACAAACCTCCATATAGAGTTGTGCCGACTGTGCCTTCTCCCACAGGCAGTGCTCCCTCATCTGAATAGTAGTTTTTCACTGCAACTTGTATGGCATAACTTGAAAATGGCTGTAGGTTCTCTAAGACAGCAATAGGACCCTGATATTCCTGTAAGTCAAAATCAGAAAATAAACATGCATTCTTAGAAAAGAGACTCATATGTTAACCCAATAATCTGTCAATGAAATGTGTGTTTAAAAAGGAATACAGTAGTGTTTTTGCATAGTAATATGCTTTAGTGTTTAAAAAAAGAATGTTAGAATCACAGTTCCAGAAATAGCTCCCTACAGAAAAGAAAGCACATACCAAAAACAAGCCAAAATGTAGGGGGGTACTTGCACAAAGGAAAACTAAGGCATCTACCAATTACCAAATACCATGGAGAAAGTACAGTTACCATTGGGATGTAGAAATGGAAAAACTCACTGACAGAAAACTACAAAATGGTTCATAAAATCTCTAAAAGCGATATCACATTCCCTGTTTATAGATGCTATCACATGCATTTCTGTGTGAAGTAGCCATACCAATGTGTTTTGTTCTGGAACAGACAAACATTGTCTTGAGTTCCTGCAGATGTTGGTCATTTGTCTGGAAAATACCAGGTACGTTGGTGTAGGCTGGGATATGCCAGGGCATAGCTGCTGTGGTGTGACAGATGGCAAGCTTAATGTAAAACTGGTGTTAGTTGTAGCAAGGATAGTAGGTTTCTCAGTGTCTGGCAAGAGTATCAGGCATCTTTTATCTAGGAAAGACATCAAAAGATTAAAATTTAAAATTATGGCTGGACCAATCCAAACTTGCATGGGATTCTACCACCCTTCATATGAGAAAGAATAACTACAAAGTATTTTTTCTGCTCTCACAACGAGAAACAGAAGAAAATTCCACCTGAAAGTACTTTATTTGATTACCTTCATAGATACAAAAACAGTGGTCCTCAAAGAAACTCTCATTTATATTTTATAAGATACAACTTTAATAAAGAATTTAGGTTCTTCTTGAAGTAGAAGATGGAAATGCAAATTGTTGCTGTGTTGTCAGGGCAATACATATTGATGAGCCCAAACTTGCCTTTTACAGGTGAGATAGATATGCTGAATAGATATTGCCTTTCTCTAGTAATTAAATGTTATCTGCTGTTTCTTCCAAACAGCTTTCAATGTGTAATGTAACAACAGATAATGAGAGACAAATTTGAGAGGTAGAAAAGGAGTCTGGAGGGAGACAACAATAGAAAACTACACTAACAGTTACTGAAAAATAACAAAAGAAAATTCCTCATCACTTGATGTACTTTCAAAAACAAAATAAAAATCTATTAAATAGACTTCCTGCTAAGAAGGAAGAAATTCAGGGATGTGCACAGGGAAGAAGGTACAAGAACCAGTGCTTGCCCTTAGGCCACAACAACTGACCTCATAGTCAAGATCTTTTCTCCCAAAGTGAGCAACCCTGCCATTCCTGCCAAAGTCAGATTCATGCATATTCCTCTGGATATATTTGCAGCAGTCAATGTAAATTAGAAAATCTCCGTGGGGATCTCTGGGTAGAAATAATCCATTTGGACTGAAATTTGGTTCTTCCCTTTCTGCACCAGCTAAGCCTGGGGCTCTTGCAGGAAACCCTGTCCCTGGGGAAAGGGATTGGCACATTCTGTACCAGGGCCAAACCAGGCTCCTGCACCAATGCCAAGCCCACACAGATCTCATAAGAACAAACATGCCCAAAATGTTGGCAAGAATAGCCTGACCATTGGTCAGAGCAGCTGCAGGCAGGCATGACTGCACCAGCTACCCAAAAGAATGTGAATTTTTTTATTCCAAAGAAGTTCATCTTGTTAAAATATTCATTTGTATATTTGCCAGGTTTTTTTGTGCAAAACCAGAGTTCAAGAATTATTTTGAATATATTCATCGTGGTAGTAGCTGTTCTGCATTTACAATGATAATCCTTATAGGTACTATGAATCCTAATTTTCTATTAAGACTAATGTTTCATTCTTTCATTATCATTCTACAATGGTTTGTTTAAAATATTAGGAGTCCTAAGTGAAGCCTGGGTCTACTATAATGTAATCAGTAGTTGTCTCTTGGGCACTTCATTATAAATCACTTTATTAAGCAGAGTTCTTATCTCTTTGTCTTTGGAAGAATGGACTTTTTTTTTTAGTTTTACATACTTGTGAACAAACTCAGAAATCTGTGTCATAACAGGGATCACTATGAAACTCTTGCCACAACACTGTGAAACATATTTGCTCTTTTTCTGTGCTATAACGTGCACCACCTTTTCTAAAACTCCAGATCTGACACAACTTTGAAAATAGGCAAAGCCTGGCATTAACAAATGGGCAATATTCATCATCGTGAGCTTCCACTGTAACCAACACAAGGCGAGTCCTTATATTCATCCTTTTTAAAAAGTGCAAATTGTTGAAGCAATGTTCAAATGCTCAAATCCATGAAGCATACTTTACATAAATACACATAGCACAATCTGCAGCTTAAATACATGCTCTGAAAGAAATTGGTTACATTCACAAAACAACCCAAATCCCCTTTACCTGGATATGATTGTGTTGCTGAGCTGTAAGCTAAGATTTTCAGCATATGGTTTGCTCTCTTGTGCAGAAAGTGTCTTCTGCTTTCTTTATTTGCTAGCCAAATTTCAGTGTATTCTTTCGTTTCAGTGGTCCAGTATATAAATTTCTGATCTGCAGTCAAGCTGCCAATTTTATTACCTGTAGGAAAACATTGCATAAATAAGTTTTATAGTCAACCTTGAGCAGATGATTTTACAGGAGCAGGCAGGTGCTTGTATTCACAGTGTGTCCATATAGGTATCTTGGACATACTGTATCCTCAAAGAACGCCCCTTGAGATTTCTGATATTTTCCAGTGGCTCTCATGAAGCTGAGACACTGTTATTCCAGTTTACAGGTTGAAGGTGTTTAATTACCCATAATTATGAGAACTGCTATTCAATTAACAAACACAAGAAACAAAACTCAAAACCAAGAGCTGTCTAAAGAAATGTTGCTCTTTTTTCCAAGATGAAAACCACCATGATCTGCCATGTCTCAGGAACAACTAAGTCACCTCCTGTGGTAACAGAGCAGCTTTACCAGCATGCCTCCAGAACTGAGCTGGAAACTGAGCAACCAAGGATAAGTGTTATTATCACAAGTAAAACATGGATAATTTGTCATACAAGACCCTACCTGTGTAAAGCACCTTCCTCATATGATGAAGTCTGCAATGCCATAAACTGCAATAGGTGCAGCTAATTTGAAACCCTAGCAGTATAATGTGTTAATATTATAAGTGAAATCTATTGACAAGTAGGACTTCAAGTTGTAGCATTTCTTTTACGTATTATTAGAATATTTGCATCAGTAAATATCTTCACACTGCTCTTTCTCCTAGTTTGTATGAACAGGGGACACAACTGGAAACATAGAACAGAAACATTTTGTCCATATTGACTGTAGACTGTTTTATAAACAAAATGCTTCATGAATGCCATTTTTTGAAATGAATGTTGTTTGTAGTAAGAGACAGCAAGAATCACTAACTGTACCTAGAAAAAATAAAAGACACTCAGACCTTGAATATTTGGTATTTTGATAATTCTCCAGCAGTGGCAACCATCCACATCTGAGGCCCATATTTCATCTCTTCCTCTGATAAAAAGCAGCTGGGGATTTTTGGAGTCAGACAAGTCCATACTCAAAGGTCTTCCTAGCTCCACTTCTGTGACATTACAGGTGCAGTAGTTCCTCATCTGTTTTTCTACCAATCCGTGTCCCAGGATGTGGTGCACAGTGCTGTTCAGAATATCATAATAAAACATGTGGCTGCCATTTTCAAGCTCTTCCATCCAGTACAAGCGGCTGCCAAAGAAAATGCATTGCTTTCAGTAGAAAAACTTCAACCTAAATGCAATCCTAGTCTGACAGAGTAACTGGTTATTCTGGATAAAATGGTTACTGTAAAAAAAAATTGTTGTCTGGTGTTGACTTTTATTTGCATAACGCATATAGAAGAACCTATCAGTATTTAAGCATAAGTTGAAATCTTTACTCAAACACAGACATCTTTTTGAAATTAGATATGTCCAAGCTCAACTAGCAGTTCTAAATTAATACCACATCCAAATATTTCTGAGATTTACAGAATTCCAAAACTCATCTACAATAAAAGGTCCTTTTTGGTCTTTAACAGTTCAAGTTTTAATAAAAATCATGTCTAAAATTTGCTTTTAAAAAGTTATTAGTAGTATGTGCCTTACCTTAAGAAAGGATATGACAACAGAGATGATACAGTTGAATTACTTTTGCCCAGCTGCATGTTCAAGGCTTTTAGAGATTTTTTCTTGAGCTCAAGATCAATAACAAATATTTGAGTTTCATCCTGTGGTGTTTTCAGGGCAACAAAGAGATGTCTTGCAATCCAGTCAACTGTGATGGCTGTGACATTGTGAAGATATGCATCTTTGAAAAACTTAAGAAAAAAATTTAAAAAGGACAGAATTTTCCAACCTGATGTTAAGACATTACTAAAATCAATTTCTTTCAGAAAGAAAAATGTCTACTTGGGAAGTAGAAGTCAAAATACAAAGATGCGTCATGGATTGGCAATATTTTTAGACAAATCAAAATTACTGTTTCACAAATATCAACTGTTGCCTCCATATTCTTGAAATTAGAATGAAGTAAATTAAATTAAATCAGATTAAATGTGATACAAAATACAAATTTCTTGTATTTATTAGTATTAATTTTAAATTAAACATCTGATAAAATATCAACAAAGTAGATGTCAGAAAAACCATTTATGATTAACAGGACAACTTTAACAATGGCATACTCTGTTCATTTTTAATTTTTCAAAAACACAGCTGGTCATAAAATAAAGGCATTAATGGTCATGTAATGATCATTTTCCTAGATTCTCTCAAGTAAGAGAATGAGCAAAGGAATACCTGAAACATTGAAGCATTCTGTATATTCAGAACAAAAAGAGAATCATCAATGATATGGTATGCTTTGTCATCATTAGCAGTATAACAGATGTCCTTTACATTAGTCTCTGCTGAAAGTTCCCATATAGTTTGACCACTGTCTATGTCAGTAAGAAACAACTTGCTGGCAGAAATAGTTATTAGAGTTGGGACAGGGAAAAGATCTGGAAGGAAAAGGGCACAGCAGAATTAACAAAAAAAAAAAAAAACCATCCTAGATAATCAGTTGTTATAAGGAAAGAAAGTACAAGATACAAATAAATGATGGTTCTGAACTTATTGTATTTGTTTGTATGCCACATTAAATAAATAAAGTAATGATATGCCCTCTTGTCATCACAATCAGACTACTAAGATATTTTCAGGGCATTGTGAATGCTTACCTAACAAATTTCAGCATAGTAAAATAGATTTGCTTATTTAATTGCCTTTAACAGACAAACTAGAAATAGCCTATGATCTCTAGTGGGTGTCTAACTCTCCTAGTTAATTTTGACAGCCTAATTAGAAATAGATTATCATCTCTAGCTGTATATAGATTGCAGGTGAAAACCTACTATTCCATGCTAGCTGGGAGTTGCACAAAAAAAAGCTAATTTAGCATAGTTTTGAGGAAAGGCTTGAAATTCCCAAAATTTAGTCTAATGATAAGGAATGTGTCAATCTTTCGTGTCAGAGGATGTAACTCTTTCCTCTGTTGTGTCTGCTACATGCCACATAAAATGTTGGAGGCTATTTATCAGACTACCAAATTCTTGTACTATCATTTTCACCAGCTATTGCACACAAACCATGAGATGGCAACTAAATGATCCCTACCTGATGAATTCCTCTCTGCCATATCAGACAAAGGTCCTGGACCTACAGAGGTGAAGGCCTGCACCTGTGGGACAGGAGATTGATACTTATGTTAAGTAACAGCATGAATGACTGCATTTGAGAGCCTGTAGAGTCAATTGAGACACAACCCCTGTCTGCTCATCTAGGGACATAAGTGTGTGCTCTGTTTGACATAGGCTGTGCTGGTCAGTTCAAAAGCTACATTCAAGTTGGCTCTGTGGTTATGAAGAGAATTTTAAGCAGTGGCCCAGAGATTGACAATCCATGCTGCATTTAACAGTTAGATCTCAAAAGGACTCCAGGCAGTCTTTTTGGTTCCTTTCCCAGCCTGGAACAATTCCTACTATTTGCTGACCTTGCAATCAGCATGGTCTCCCCTATTAGTATCTGGTCTATTATCTGCTTTCATGCTTTTAACTTGTACTTCGAGTACACATACTGTCTGTTCCAAAACTTTTATTCCAGTGAAAATATAACTTCTTGACAAGTTTTGAAGCTGGAAGTCTCTTTCCATGGAAGCCACATGAGTCCTTGCATTTCTCAAACTGTGGCTCTGTTCAAAAGGCCTGTCACTCCCCGCCAGATCAGTTGAATCTGTGTTCAACTTGCACTTTTTAGAAGTAGCTTGGGGAAACCTCTAGAAAAGTTTCTTTTGGGCTTCACCATTTAGTGAACAACATGATACACAGAGAGGTTAAGCCAGGTACCCAAGGGTGAGTCAGCAAATCAGCAGTTCTACATGCAGAAACGACAAGATCTTGCCCCAAGCCAAAAAAATATCTCCCAGGCAAACACGTCAGACTGCACAGATAACATCTACCATCCAGCACGAGACAAGCTTAGTAATTTTTCATACCTGAAACCTTACTGTGAGGCTGGGACGCACATCCTTGAGAGAAAACAGCATCTGGATGGGTTTAACATTGATTTCAATCCACTCCATGGGAGTGCCAGCAGTGCTGCTCTGATTCAATAGCTGATAGTAAACCTTGTACTGTGTTAATATTCCATTTTCCCTTTCAGGTCTGTCCCACCTGAACTCAACAAGGACTTGCTCATCACTTCCGTGTAGGTTATTTTGTAACACATATATTCTAGGGTTCCTAGGGGCTGAAGGAACTGTATAAAAAAATAAAGATAAAATACACAGAACAAAATACTCCTGTTAAAACACAAACCTTACCTCATAACTAACCCTGCAGAAGATTATCTAAAACTTAATAATAATTAGTAATTCCTTTCTGTTTTTCATTGGTGTGAGGCTATCTAATTTTAACTTGCCTAACCAAAAGAAAGAGCTGTAAAAACAGGAAAAAACTGCACTCCTGCACTGAGACTGGGACATATCTATTTAGCCAAATCCTGTGTGTTACTATGGGGCTGTAAAAATTTTCACAACACAGAGCATATCCTATCCTCTCTCCTATTCACTTCAAAATCTACTGCATCTCATAAGCTTTCTCAGTGCTTCAGTCACTCAACACTATATTTTAACTAACTTAATTTTGACATGCATAAGATCACAAATAAACACTGAAGCAGGAGTAAAATGTGTGTAACATTTATTAAAAATCTACTAAGTGGTTAAGATATTGAATGCAGCCTTTTGTGTTCATTTTAATTGATTCAATTTCTCTTTCCTGCTCGTAGTCACAGGCACATGCTGGATATATTGTCCTGCATTTTCTGTTTTTAATTAAATTACTTCAATTGTCTGCATTTATGGATGCAACAAATGATTGCCAAATATACTCAGAAACACATCCTTGCAACTCTGCCTGCATCTGACTAGCTCTGAAAACTGCTCACCCTTTGCCAGGTTTTCACTTGCTGACATTGAGCTGCTCCCAGTACCCATGACACAGGAGGAACAGGATGTAAAATTTTAGTACCTCCTTCAGGGGCTCGAAGGGATACAGATGTCATTGGTGCCTTGCCCCAGTAAGTGTATGGAGTGACAGTAAAATCAAAGAGTGCAAATGGTTCCAGCCAATCCACTCGGTAGGATGGCACAGTCAGATCATGGGGGTGAAGGCATCCTTCACTCTCCAGAGACTGCAAATGAAATCAAACAGAACAAAATAAAGTAAGACTTTTTTTCCTACTCAAAAGGCCTCCAGTTTTCCAAAATTCCCTCACCAAACCAGTCAACTAAATCCAAACACAGCTTCTCTTCCTGTGAGCAGCCATCATTTCACCAGCTCCTGTGGCACTGCAGTGATGCTTAGTGATGTGCCACCAATCTGCACTTTGAATTTAAAGTAGGGCTTGCCAAATGCACTGAAGGGGGGATGAAGGCTAGATTTCACATTCAGGCAAAGGCTGTCCCATTGCCATCTCAGAGGACACTTCTGTCTCTGAGTTACTGTGAGAGGCTTTCTCACTAAATTTTGATCACTGTGATCTCCTTTTCTGGCTCTTCATATCCCAACCACCAGCCCAGAGCCACCGCTGGCTGTAGTGATGGAGAAATTGGACAACTTGCACTCTGGTTGCAATTTAGTTTGGTTCTTGACCAATTTGTAAATGCTGGAGAAGAAACAAACTCCATTTCTTTTTAAAAATAGATGTATCACCAAGTAGATTCAGTAATACACATGGATAATAGGGAGGGATGGCATCAATACCCTCACTTGTAGAGCTTTTGATCCCACGCAGTAAAAGACAGTTCCCCATTCCACCTTTGTAGAGGGACTCCAAGTGATATGGAAACTTGAGGAATTTCCTTTAATTCTAAAAGAAGACTCTGGCACTGAATCTGGAATCACTTTTGGAGTAGAAGTAAAATTTCCTGTCCATAAGCAGAAGAAATAATAATAATAATCTAAAGAATGTGAGAAATAGGTAGACTATTCAAATGTGACCTAAAACATTAAAGTAAATCCTGTAAGCCAACATTAAAGAGAAACAATAAATAACAACAACACGTATTCTTTTTATCCATATGTCTACCATCAGCTTTTATAATTGCACATTATCCTGACATATTTATCAGGTAGTGTGTATATATATATATATATATATATATATATATATATATATATATATCTATCTCACATGTAACCTGATATTTTTATTAATAAGTCAAATGACTAAAGAATTTCAAGAATGAAGAACTGCAGGCTGAGAGTGAATACCTTTATTGAGGAGTTTAGATTAAGAGAATAATATACCTGGCAAAGGTTTAAGTGATGCCTGAACAAGGGTGAAGGCTGTAAACTGTGCTGGTTGTGAGAAGGGAATGCTAATGCTCTGATTGACTTCCTGGACTGTAATGATCTGAAGCCTATTAATCCAGAACAGACGACCACTGTAGTATTCCAGCGCACCCAGAGATATTTCTGAAGTACTCCATGCTGGAAATTCCGTGATGATGGCATTACCACAACTGTGGAAACATGTATGAAATTAGCAAGCTGATAGCACACATATAGAGGGAATAGATTTATGCAATGTTTGACATGTTGTTAAATTTCTTATAATTCAAGTTCTTAATACTTGAAATTCAAATTCTAAAATGTAGGAGGCAGAAAATCAAATCAAATTTTTTTCTTTAAGCTCTTAAAAGCAGAACACTTTTCAGAATATTAAACACTGCAGGAAGAACAATAAGGCTTTCATTCCCTTTATTTCATTGGAAAACAATTATAAAATGGTTTAAGATTCTGCTGCATAGATGCAGAAAAATGAGTATTTTGAAAAATCAGCCCACCTTTTCTCAGCAATTCTACTGAAACAGTGAAGTCTACTGCAGAGCATGAGATTCATTATACTTCACTATATCAGGAAGCCAGATTTATTTGACCCTGCTGGTTTTCTCCCATTATTTATTAAGATCTATTAACATTTTTCTTCACTGGGATCACTGGTGATTTAATCTGCCTTGTATATTGTATGTCAAAACTTACAGGCCTTTTTAGGTCCCAATTCATCTTGGTAAGAGATTAAATATGTTGTAGGAGGAATCATTTTGCCATCTCAGAAACGTTCTTTGAGCTTAGCCACATGCCATCCAAAACAAAATTGGAAAAGCTTTGACACACCATCAGGTCCATTAGGATGGATCACTTCTAATCTCTGTACTCTGGCATGCCAGGGACAATGATTTATGGCTGCCAATTGGTTCATAATGGAGCTGCATGTTCCAGCTAAAACTAATCAACATATTTTGATCCTTTAAGTGTTTACTATTAATCATAGCAAATCTAAAATCACTCAGAAAATTCATCTGATTCTCCACAAAGCCAGCCTGCAACATTATGGGCACATGTAAATACAGATGCTGCTCAATTAAGTTTAAGTAGTTTAATCTGATGCTTGAAAAAAAATTTAAATAATTGCATTCTCCACATGGAAGAGAGCAAAAACAGTTTCACAAACTACTACACATTATTATACACTTTGCACTTAAAGAACAAGCCACCATTTTTCTCAAGATTTTAGTAAATAATCAAGCTAACCCATAAACATTGTTCATTATGTTTTGTCGTATTAAACTTTGCCTTTCTGGAGTAATGCATGCATTTCACGTTTGGGATGATCAAGAGGAAAGCCTGCTGAGTACTGTTTGCTCAGGTGAGAAAGTGGTGTCAGTTCAAGTCCTGAGATTCATGAAAGATGAGAAGTTACAGAGCTCCAGGCACTTGGAAACTGTCAAGTGCTGTAAATGCCAAGATAAAATAGACAATAAGCAGCAATTATTTCCTAAAGCTAAGTCTAAAAATTGATAAGCATGACCTCAGTTCAGTTGAGGTTCCATACCCTGTGTCTCTCATTGTAAAACTGTGTTACCTTCCAGCACATGTAGCTTGCCATCAGCTAGCCGTGATCATTAGCTCTTCTTTTTTGTCTATTGTTAAATTACTAAATAGTGTGCCCAGCACTGGATGACATATTTTCTTAAAGAATATGACAAAAACTAGAAAATAGAGACTTTCTTATCTCTGCTATACATTTACTTACCCTTCTTTGCAGAGAGAAGCCCTGTATAGGTTTAGGCATAGATTATCTTGTACAACCCAGTAAAGAAAACCATAGGTGAGATCCAAAGTTACACCAACCACCTAAGAAAAAACAGTCCAAATAACAATTTGAATACATCTTCACTTCTGAGGTAAGAGCCCTTAGGCATAACAGTTGTCTAGACAACATCATGAGTAGCTCCTTATTGGCAGAAATAGCATTTCTACCATGAATGTTTATTCTAACACAAAAAGAGATAGCACTAGAAAATAATCAGGTCCTTGGTGGACACCTATTTATAGCAGCTGATGATATTCTAGATAACATTTTTTTAACACCTGTCACAGTGTTCATCCCTGGAGTATCTGAGTACCTCAGATATGGCAGCAAAAGCATATCAAGAGCTTAGTGGAACTACCTATCAAAATCTCCAGAATACTTCTGGTATTTTAACATTCTTTGTCTGAAACAGGTGGGTGATATCCAGTCTGAAAGTCAGAATGATCTTTTGAAGAAAGTATTTCAGGTCTTTTGTGTTTGTTTTCCAGCTTTGATTTTATACATAAACAGTTAAAATGTTGCATTATTTATGGAAAACAGATGCAAAATTTTAATTCATGTATTTGATCAAGCAGGAAATTTGAATATTTAAATTTTTGTAAATAATTTATTATTAAGTAAAGGGGGGAAGGAAATTAAACAATCTTCCTGTTCGTTACTTCAATGTTTCATCTTCCTTTAAAGGAGGTGAAAGATTTGTTGTTTCTTTTTAATAGGATCTCATATTCAAAATGTTTCTACAGTAAACAACAGATTCAATACCATATGCAACAGTACTAAAAATTAGACATTTAATAATGTCTTCTGTGAATAAAAAGAATTTGCTTCCATAAGTTAGTCTGCTAAATGTTATCAAGTTTAATTTATTTTATGTCATTAGCACAGCTTACAAGTTGTTTGGGGCCTCTCTGAACATGTTTTCCAGCAGCTCTCAAACTTCTCATGCAAACACTAGTCATAACTATTCTTTTATAAGCTTAAATTTCCATTATGTATGTAAGTGGAACAGCCTTTTTTTTTCCCTAACTCTTCATTAATAAACTGCAGAAGATGATGACAGGAAAGCAAATGCTATATCACTTAGTTGTCTGTTGCTCCTTATGTAATCACATTCTTGACATATTTCTGTTGACATTGTGTGTCAGAAAATCAAGGTTTGAATGATTGCTCCTGTAGGTTGTCCTGTTAAAAATATCTCACAGCGTGTATCTGCCCCAGTGTATATTTAGTCAGTCGTGCTATATTTTATGCCATTTACCTATTTCCCTCCCATGCTCAACACCAAAGACATCTTCCTAAATTTATGTTGCTTTTTTGAACTTTTGGGTCCTTCTTCCTTGCCTAATTTTTTTTTCTGCAGCTATTACATTTTCCTACAGATGTGTCCATCTTCTTTATCCTGATCCCCATATCACCATTTTTAAAAGGCAAATAAATATTTGTACTATTCATTTTCAGGAGTTAGGCGGTAGTTTAACACCTCCCTTCTGTTACACTTCAAAAACAGGCAAACATTTCTCAGTTCATAAGAGGTATTAGACTCTGGGCATGACATGTATTTGTGATGGTGCAATGTAACTGAACATCATGAGATGCAGGATAAACTTAGCTATTTGAAACACTTTTTGACTAGAAATATTGAAACCACGCATAAAGGGTCCTGGCTCCGCTTCCATATAATGCACTTTGCTGCTCCCCTATACATTACTTTTGTTCTAGTCATATTGTACAGTGTAAACAACTTGCTAAGTGCTCTGGAGATTCTCTGCCAGAACCTAAGATGGAATAAATCAGAGTAGCTCTGCTGAAATCAGTCAAGCTCTGCCAATACACACTAGCTGAGCTAAACAACTGATGAGAAAATAAAATAATTGCCATAAAAGGATCTAGTTCCTGCCAAAGAAATTAGGCTTTCAAAGCCTTGCCTTTGTATTTGTTTAGGAAACCAACCATTTTCACAGTAGTCTCTTCTATTCCTATTCCTACTATTCAGATTTCAAGCTAAAAGGATGTAGAGCTACAAACTGCTGAAGATCCAGCTGAACAGCAATTTTTTATTAGAAAAACAGATGGTGAGTATCAGTAAGAACCACTTATGTGGAGAACATGCTTTAACTGTTGGATAACAGCAATTAACTATTACATCTGTGTTTTAATACTGAGGTATGACATGCTTTTTTCAGGTAAAGGACTTCATTGTGCAAGGAAGATAAATATTAGCACCTCTGCAACCTATATTTTCCTCTCAATATAACACAATAATACAGACAATATAAGACAATAACAACCAACTCAACAATTCCACCATTAAAGAATGTTGTGCTGTCCTTTTTTTCTGATAATTTTATTCTGAGTTTTATTTTGATAAAGAAACACCTGTCAGCTATAACTGGTCACTTCTCAATCTACATTTTTACTTGGCTTTTTGCCTGCGTGCATCACAGCAGGAGGCTGAGTTCAAGAAGTTGGTGCATAGATTAGGGCAGCAGAGAAGCAGGAGAGGAGATGTTTGTTTGTAGGAGGTGTGAATAAGTGAATGGTTGAAGACTGGTATCACTGACATAGAGAAAGGTGCAGAAAAAAAAAAAAAAATGACAGGACCAGACAAGCAGACTTACTGCTGCCAAGGTTCTTGAAAGCCAGAACAAGAAATTTGAGGTTAACATGAGGCGATCCACAGAAGCAAGCAGTGAATCAAAAGAGAAGGGCAAGGAAGTTGAGATTTGGCACTTAGAATAAACTGGAACTTGTTGGTCCTTTGCCACAGATCATCCAGAAGATATGTGCTAAGTCCAAGTGTGCCACTGAGCTTGGATAGCACGTATCCTTCCATGGAGACAGTCCACACCAGCCAGCTTCCTTTTCGCTCACATACAAAAGTTTTACAGTTCTTGTGCATGCAGGATTACAAGTATAGTAGGTGGCACACCAGAACCTGCCTTCCTTCTTCCCAAGCCCTCATGAAAGTAAAAGACCTCCGAGATTAACTGGCCTTTCGGAATATTAATTCCCTTTCATGGACTAAACTAGGCCTGGCTTTTTTTTTATAATCAGAGAAACACCAAATTCTTTTCTTTTGGGAAAGGAAAGTGAAATGTTCAGGGAAATGATAAAAAGTTAACTAAGAGCGATAGATCTCTAAAACTGGAAATGCTCTTTAATGGACAACCTGGCTTCAGGTAAAATGGGAATACAGTTTGTATGATAGATGGAATAAAAACAAAGGCTTCTTTAGCAAGGGCTGTGTTTTAAAGTAAGCCGTTAACATAGGCAAAAACTTATCTGTGCTGACCTGTTTTGTAGCAGCCGAACTGTGCCTCACTCCAGCACTCGGGGCAGACAGTGCAACCCTGCACAGGATGTGCTTTGAGCTGTGGAGCATTCAGCTCCTCTCAGAGAGAGACCCCATAGACTAAAAACAGATGGCATGGTCCCTCAGCCTGACCTGCTCAGCACACAGCCTGGAAAAGTTCAAAGGGAATGAGGGAAGGGAATGAGGGAGGGAGGAAGGAAAGGAAGGAAGGATTCCAGGAAGGAAAGAAGGAAAGAAGGAAAGAAGGAAAGAAGGAAAGAAGGAAAGAAGGAAAGAAGGAAAGAAGGAAAGAAGGAAAGAAGGAAAGAAGGAAAGAAGAAGGAAAGAAGGAAAGAAGGAAGGAAGGAGAAGGCATATGCTCTGACATATTCCATGGGGAGAATACTCAGTATCAGAGTTCTTCCATTGTGTAGGCAACACCAAATTCCACCTACCAAGAATGAGGTCAAATCTCACATGGTGGCAGAGGCAGGATGGATTTGGAGAAGACCACAGTGATCTATGAGGAGCCAGCAGTGAACCAAGTTTTTAAGATACTTGATAGGACACCAGAGAGTGGTGAATGTAGAATAAAGGCAGGGAGAGGTCAGCAGAGATATGGAGGTTGTCAGAGCACAACAAAATGTCTCCAGGTAGGAAAAGGGAGCTAATGAGCTTCCACATACTACAGGATATTTGGTGAGCTATTGGTGGAAATAGCATCTCTATTTTCCCTGTCCTTTCTACTTCTGCATGGAATCCATTCTCCACCCTAATACAGCTAAAACAACAATCTCCCATCCATTTTCCCCCCTGTGCTGCCCAATGTCTTTACTCACACTTGGAAGAAGCCCCTTCTCTCTGTGGAGCTGCTCTGCTCACATCAGGCCTCTTCCCAGCCTTCTGGAGCTCCTCATGAGCCTGGGGCAAAGCAAGAGGGGCCAAGCTGGGACCAGGCCTGTGTCTGACTTGGGCACAGGATAAAGAGAGGATGGAGAAGGGGTGGGAAGGGGTGGGTTGGGAAAGGAGAGCCTTGGCAATCCTCAGGGTGTTTAACTTGCTGCTCCTGCAAGAGGGACATGATCAGGCAAGATGGAGAATGTTAGAACAGAGGACACAGTCTCAAGCTGCACCAAGGGAGAAACAGGTTGGATACTTGGAAGAAGTTTTTCATAGAAAGAATAATAAAGTATTGGAATGCTTTCCCTGGGGAAGTGGTGGAGTCACCACCCCTGGATGTGTTTAAAAAAGACTGGATGTGGCACTTGGTGCCATGGTCTAGTTGAGGTGTTAGGGCATGGGTTGGACTCGATGATCTTGGAGGTCTCTTGTAACTTAATTATTCTGTGATTCTGGGTCAGTGGCAGATGTGGTGCCCTTACCAGCAGTGTGGCAGCAGCAGCAATCTGGGCCAGGCTGCAGCAGGGGCAGATGCCATTTCCCCTCTCTCACCACCACAGGTAAAGCCTGTTTCTCTAACAGCACCTCTGCAACCTGAAATGCAACCCTGGTATCCCTGCCAAGTGTTAACCCTCAAAACTGGCCCTGTCAGGTCCTGCAGGCTGGGGAGCATCACAAAAGAGGCAGGATGCTATGAAGCTCTAGTTCCACACTTCGATGTGAAAGCCAGAAGTGACCATTAGATTTAAATCATTTGGAAATATAGAAGAGCCTTTCACATGTGGGAAGGAGCAGCATTACAACCACAATTTTGACAGCTATGAACACTGCCTATATTCAAGAAATCTAAATACTAAAACACACACCACCCCTCCACCCCATCTCTCACAAAAAGAAAGAAAAGTGAAAAATCAGTCACCTGTTTACCAGAAAATTGTAGCTGCTCTTGTAACATGAAATACTCTTCTCCATTCAATCTTGTGCTCTCCACTGAATACATTGTGGCCCAGTATAAATAGCCATTTACTGAATCCACAACTAGATCCTTCACTGGGAACACAGCATGAGCTACAACATCTATATGGTCTCCCCACAGTGATTTTCTGTAGATCTAGGGACAAAAAAATTGACTTTAGTATCACATCATCAGCTATGATCAGCCGAGTGTACATTAGTGACTTTTCCACAGCTGGTTATCAAAAGACTGTACAAGCCTTCAGCTTTCAAAGCCTAAACCTTTTGCATTCAAAGTAAAAGGATGAAGAATAATACGAAATTATTAGTTCATTTTTGCCAGCAAGTAACAAAAGAAAAAAGCTGAAATAGCTTTTTCCCTTCACTTTCCCAGTTTTGGCGGCCTTCTGTCTGACAGAATTTCTCACCCACTTCATATTCACTATTCACAAGTGTAAATGAGGGTGCAAGGCAGTGTGAAATCTGGCCTCCTAGCTCCAGTTTTTAAAACAGCTTCTGACATTGCACTTAGAAGAAATGAAAGGCAGAATTTGACAGCACTGCATAAATTAGCACTACAATTTTGAAGTCAGATACCTTTTAAATAATTCACATGTCAGTGTTCCTGATATGAGAGTGTACAAAGTGCAATTGTAATTATTTCTTAACTGCAGTGATCTGCAAAATGTCACAGAGCAGAGGTCAATATTGAAAATCTTGGTGTAAACAAATAGTGCCAAATGCGATTAAAATAAAGTCCATCTACTTCTTGACTGAGATCAACAGGGCAGCCTCCATTTTCACTATCATCATTTATTTTTACAATGTTGAATCCAACAAAACTGTTGATAGCATGTTTGATTTGCCTGTTTTGCACCTGGTGAATTCATTATCCTGTATTAGTGAATGTTAGCGAATATTTTACTCCAAACTTTTGTATAACTGTGGAAAATCACTCGAGGAAAGAAAGGCCTCCTTGTTCTACACTATACAATAGCAAAGGTCCAAATGTATCTCAGGTTGCAAGAAGTAGGGATCATTTTCCCAAATATTGCCTTACAGTCTTTATTGTTGACTTAAAGGATTTTTTCTTTTAAGACATGCAGCTATACCTACCGTATTTGCTTTGCCAGCCCAATACAAGCACTGACCCAACCAATCAAAGGCCAATGTCCTTGCATTTCTGACGTCAGATACATAAGTGCTCTCAGTGGTACCCTTTTTTTTGTCCAATGTCCAGGTCTGAACTTCCCCCATGGAATTAATCCAATAAAGAGTGTTATTATACCAATCGAGGTCTTGAAGAAAAAAAGAAGATGTTAAGTGTACACAAACATGTAAATTAAAAAATAAATCACTGCTTTAAAGAATAAAAAGCAGTCAGGCAGTTCAGCTTTATAAAAATCTATACAAATGCACAGTTAGGCTCAGCTAATGCTTCTTTATAGGAAATAATGCACATGTATTGTACATATGTAGCCCAATTACTAAAAATGTATGACATATATTGGAATGCTGGAGACTGAACTATTTAGTTCAGAGGGTTGATTTTAGCTCTGCTGTAACTATGGTGCTGTGGTGATGTCAGAAGTGTTTCACTAAGGATTAATTTGACTCATAAAATAGAAGAAAGGGAATGAACCCAAAGGATTGGCTCAGTGAAGCTGCTGTACTGCACTGCAGGACATTCAAGTCTAGAGAACTCTTGTCTTTCAGTGCTGTTAGTAAAATTTATGGAGAGCCAACAAACGCCAAAAAGCCTGTAGCAGCAGCATACAATTTGTTTAGTAGGTACCTGAAACATTTCTTATATGAGGATAGAGGAGTTCTCCTGGCCCATAGCTATCCAATCTCTTCTTCCAGAGACCTTCAGGCCCCACAGCCAACATATAAGGTTCCTCTTCCACTGCAAAGGAAGAAAACTGCTGTTGTGCACACCAACAAGCAATTTATGTATAATATTTATATTTCAGTAGCAGCACTTCCTGTTTCTGGAAAGTTACAAAAGCACCTTTAAAACTGCCCCTGTCCTAAGGAATAAAAGACAAAGAAGAAATGCATGAAAATATAATAATTTGAGAAACTCAGGGACTCAGGGCAGGTTCAGATGCAGAGCAATAAGGCAATATGGAATCCTATTAGATGCTGGAAAAACACTGTGAATTTGGACCTGTCCTTAGCAAAAATCAGCTGAAAGTCACCCCTGAGCCATTTCACCACCTTAAACTGGAAGCTATTTTCCCCTCAGACATAGATTAATTTGGGTGAAATAGGTTTCAAAAAACATTCCAAAGACATGGAAATTTCAAACATTTTGCACACATCCATTTCCCCTGATTACCTATGCTCAAACCAAGGATTTTCAGCATCTGGTGAGCTGTACTTTTCCACGAATTGTCATTAACCCTCAGGGCACTGCACAGACAACTTAATAATGGAAAGTTCTTTACAGAGCAATGGAAAGGTCTAACACCTCTTTTACCATATCAAATAATGGTTTTGATAGAGTATTTGCATTAGAAAAATTTCGATAATACCAATATTCATGCATAAATAATATTTAATATCATTACTCTAGTTTAAGAATTTTACTACTTTAAGTAAAAGCAAATTTACTTATCCTGTATTCTTTAATATTTCTAAGAAAAACCTTTTTGTGCCCCTTATTTTGCAGTCTTTGCCCAAAGCGTGTGCCTCGCTAGGTGGAAATATTTAGACACACTTTGTTCTTCATTTTCCCTGTGTGACAAAGCAATTCTCACCTGCTTCTAAAGTTGTACCTCTGAATAACTCTGACCATGGCCCTGCACCGGCAGGAGACACAGCTCTGACTGATACCTCATACACTGTGAAGCTGGCCAGCCCCTTCACTGCAAGCCTTGTGTTACTAATATTTGAGACAATCCATTCCTCCTCAGATGGGTTCTGAGGTGACACTTTCACATCATAGGTCCAGTTCTGCCAAGCAGATAAACCTGTGTGAAAGAAATAATCATGTTATTACAGAGTAAATGGTTGTAACACAGAGTAAGTGGTGATACACATCCTTTGAGAAAGAAGGATATTGGAGACTCCTTTCAAAAATGCCAGTATCAGTGGAATTAGGAAAGGGATACACTAAAAATTTACACCCTTCTCCTCTGGCCCCATGCTTCAATCCCCCATGAAGAATAAAATCAGAACAAAAATTTTCCCTGGCCAGGTAATTTTCTGCTATTCAAAGACACATGCACAGAGGGTAGAAACCATAGCACAGTCACTGATCAAAGGTCATTACATCTCTGCCATGCATCTTTTGTGTGATATCAGTACCCAGCATTACTGCTACTCCATAAGAGTACTTAAGATCAAGCTTTGCTTAAAATCCTTGCAGGGGACATTTGAGTTGCCAACCCAAACTTCTGTTAATTTAGACGGACAATTTAGCTATTTTACTGCCAAATTATGGGCTAAATTTTTTGAACAGAGGTAATTCCATAACTTCCATCAGGATCTGCTACTGAAGTCACTAAAGCCCAAATCAAGAAGATGGAAGTCAGAAAGTTACTCCTCTGGAAAGAAAAGAAGTGAACTTTCAGGGAGAATCAACTGAACTTACTGGTTCCAATGGTGTGTTCAGGTGGTCTCCAGCTGATCACGGCTCGGTCCGCTCCAAACAGAGCCGTGACAAGATGAGGAGCAGTTGGTAAAGGAAAAGGCTGAGTTGATGGCCCATAGAAAACCAAGTTGCCAATGCCAAAGTACTCTGGGTATGCCAAATTGCAGTCCACGATGTACTCATTGAAGCTAGAACTTCCCACTGGAGAAACCTCCTCGTGGAAAACTGCCAAGCCATTTGTGACTGTAAACGTGTTATCCTCATAAACGAAGCTCTCCATGTCATTAAATGGCACATGTGATCGCAGTGTGTGAAACTCTGAACCATCAAGAAAACCTGACACAAAGGCCTGTTCTGTTTTGTTGAAGAAAATGAGTCTCTTAGATTGGAAGTTGATCATGAAGGTTCTCAGAGCACTGGATCTCACCACTGGTGAAGCTGCGGAGGCAGTGCCAGGAAAGAGTGGAAGGTTTGCTCTGTATATGCCATCCTCCAGGAGACAGAAAATATAACTGGCCATAGAGCAAAATAAACTCAAATAACTACAGTGCAAGAAGTCTGTAGATGAGCCACAAATATTTTAGCAGCTAAGACATGTGCCTGTCTTTATGCACAACAGAAAAATGCTTTTGGCACTATTAGTATATATGCTGGGGAAGTAGACACATCAGTTTTTACCTTCTGGGAATTTGCATAGCATATTATTGGAGAATATTCTTCTATAATACTTTAAATGTTAAGCATGAACATTTAAAATTCATAGAGCTTCATATTCATAAAAGCATTACATTTCTGAGACTGAAATTTCTGCATTGGAAAAGTTTTATCTCTTCTGCTAACATCCTAAGGACAAAAATGCAGGAAACAATACTGCATGGCACCACTCTTGTTTCAATTGTTTTGTAGCTTGTTATTTGTTGCCAATTGCACTTTTGTTTTGTTAACCTGAGTGCTTGAAACAGGAACCTAGATGACTAATGAAGTGGAGAAAATTAGAGAGGAGCTTTATAGCACCTTTGGCACCAAGTGCTCAAAGGAGTTCACTTACCCATTATAGGGATCAGCTATAACTTTCCTAGGGGATGTCATGTAAAGAGGAGTGATGTCTTCAGCTACCGTGCAGTTCTCTAAATGGCAGACATGTATCTGGGGAATGAGAAGAAAAACAGGTGATGCATTCATAGGGTGTTTGCTAATGAGCAGACAAGCTGACCCGAAATTCCTTCAGGGGATTGAGAGACTGAAACACCTCTCCCACAGTCCTAGGTCCTTCTGGGCTCCTGAGTGTTCAGTCAGCCAAGTATAACCCTTGGACACAAAGCCATGACAGCTTACCCTGAAGCTGTCAGTCATACCTCTAAGCTGGAGGGAAAATTGTGTACCCAACTGCCTATACTCAATTTGGAGGCAAACTGTAGTTTGAAAATGGTCTGGCAGGGAAGGGAAGTGCTTCTCTTATCCTGGAAGCAATACCTTGGAATTCAGAAATCTCTGCCGTCGATCTGTTCATCTACAGCTCATTTGTATCTTTTCATCACTACTGCTTTTCCTGCTCCCTGTTCCCTGTGCATTAAGTGAAAAATCAGACAGGGCAAGAGGATTAAAAAAAAAATAAATCCCCTGCTAACCCTTATGGGCAAATTTCTAGTCCTTTGTACATTAGAGGATTACGTGAGTAAATGCAAATTCTGACCATTAGTGTCAGACTAATGTAATTAGTAGACTGATGTTTTATGAGTAGGAAATTCAGTGCAGGGTTGCCATCTCCATTTTTACTTTAACCTGAAGCATTTATAATCTGAGCTCTTGCCATTGTATGAAACATTTAACATATTTTGTCAATTACGACAGACAGTAAAATCACTATCTAGTTATCTGACCACCTTCCTGAGGCCGAGTAGGAAATGAACAGAGTAGATGGGTAACCAAGAGAAACAGTGTGCCTATACTGTGGATGAGGAGGGTGTGAAGTCAGTCTCAAAAACAAAACCAAAACAATTATGTCCTGTGGAGAAAAATAAGGCAAGGAGCCAGAGTTCCGTGTAGGGTGCTTACTTTAAATATGACCTGATAGTCAAGCCTTTCTTCCCTTTACAATTACTAAATATGTGAATATTAATGTTATATTAAAATATATTTTTGTAATTACATTTTGTGCATATATATCTACATAAGTCACATTTTCTCATATAAAATTAATCACGTAATGGTTCAAATTAAGTACTAAAGCATTACCTTTTCATTCATGACAAAGTATATCCTCTGGTAAAGCCAGTCTACTGAGATGGACACAATATTCCCCCGGCCAGCATAAAAGAGCAATAGGTCAGATACATCAGACATATTTGCAGCTCCTTTCACCCAGATAGAATTCCCTTCAGAAAAATAGACGACTTTCTGATAAATATTCACAGAAATTCCTAAAAATAGAAAGATAGATATACACACAGAAGATATAAGAAAGGTTTTTCAGTTAATTTTTCTACTTGCCTTTAATAAACGAATTTTTCAGTCTGCAACTCATCATCATCACCAGAGAAAAGTTAACTGTTTTTTCTCCTCACTTCTAGTCTTCTTTCAGATAATAAGGAAACATTCCCATATGTAAGTGACATTATTATAGAGAATTGCCCTTCAGAAAGGTAATCAGACAAAGAGAGGACATGTAATATGCAAACTGACACTGATTGCCCCTCTACAGGTCAAACGGATGCAACTGGCATCTCCTCACAAAGCACCATTCCCTCTAGAATTCAAGCTTGAGATTATCTGTGCCATCTCTGCACTATCAAAGGCTATTTAGTCAGGGGCAACATTCTTTCTCTGGAGCCTTTGTGGCTCTGTGAAATTTGGTAGATAAACTCAGATTTCCACACTGTCACCAAGGACTAGAGTAGATAAGAAACATTAGCGTGGTGAGTAATTTGAGATAACATGGTTATCTGGTGACTTCAGCTATTAAGTGCCTCCTTAGTAAGCTAACACACTAGCACTACGTTTTAACACTTGACATTATTTTATTCAGAAGTTTGAACCACTTCATTTCCCCATATTCATGTTGAGAAAAAGTAGGTATTAATCATAGGGAAACATAGATTCATCTTACCTCCATTTAGATACCTACAATGTAAGAAATTAAGCAGCTGCCTAGATACAGTGAAGAAAGAGTTGCACTGGGGAGAACAATTTATCTCTTCCTAATGCCTGTCATTTCAAATACATCAAATCATGTCCTGAAAGTTCCTATTTCTCCTGATTGACTATAAAGGGAGAATAGATACTGTCTCAAGCTATGTGAGATGCATTCTTTCCTTGGTGTAAAGAGGTCTTAGTCACACTTGACAGAAAAGGAGAGAGTCCAATCTGATTTTACCTGTGATGTTGTGGTGTATATTACCATTTGGTAGGCACTGAGCAGCTTCCAGGAAATGTCCTGTGTATCTCTTCCTTAAAGATTCTTTTCTAGATAGGAAGAGCCATGCTGCTTTTTCCTTAACTAGGAAACAGAGAAATTCAGGATTTAGATGACTGCAGCATGGTGTTAACTCAGACACATCATTTGTAGACATGCATGTGCATGTGGACCCGAATGTGTGTATGTATGTCTGTACTGTATATTCTTACATTAGCAGCGACAGAAGACCAACTTAAACTCTTTGAGTGTTGAAAGTATATGGAGTTATTCACCATTACACTTGATTCTGGCTCCTCACACAGGGCGAGACCATGCCATGTGAATTTCACACCATCATTTCCTGCAACAATAGCCAGCTCCCTAGTGAGGGAAAGTAAGCTGGAGCAAATGAAGCCCTATTGACTCAAGGAAATAAAGGCACTAAGACATCCATGTGACTTCAAGATCCAGCAGAAACAGGATATTTAACCCCTCTGGACCCTTTGAAAACCCCAGTCAAACTAGAATTTTATCTCACAGAGCTGGAGAAAAGCAAGGCAAGTACATTTATGTCATGGTTTTTGTTGTAATGATTAGTGATTTATTAAAAAAAACAAGTACTTATCACAGATAAAGATGATAATGGGATAATATAATCTGCTTCAAAGGTGATAAACTTACTAACTCTTTTTTTTCTTATAAAGTCACAGAATTTTAAGTGAGCAAGGATAGTTTTGGTCACATAAACTGACTTCATGCTTATAAAGCTCCAAGTAATTTACATCAAAACCTCTTCAGTAAATCCACACCTTCTGTCTGGGCAATGAGTAGCTCTGGGAAAGATAGCTTGCCTCACTTCTGAATCTCAGATCCTTGGAAATCTAGCACACACCCTGCTAAATCGATTGCTACCTTCATTTAAATGATGGAGTATTATTTTGAAAATTATTTTGGCTAATTTCCATCAGCAAATAATCCTTCATCTTTTTTTCTCCTCTCCATTTTAAGCAGCTGTCTGCAATCAGATATCATTTCCTCATATGGATATCACAAAACTGTGATCAAATGCTGTCTTAATTTATTCCCGGATAATCTGCATAGATTGAGCACCATGTATTTCTCACATGATGCACTGTGAGTAATTTCAATAATGATGACTTCGGAGCAGAGTACAAGAGGCCAATATTGCCTCTTCATCTCTTTTCAAGTAACATTTCTTGCAATCTGCAGCAGCAATCAGATTCTTGCCCTGACTCTTCTCGGGGCTCAGACCTACACAGCTCAGTGCCTGATGCAGTAACCCCATTTCTGGACATGATACATGAGGAAAAGCTGTTCCTGTTCACATTAGCACAGAGAGAAAGCACGTGCTTATGCAATTCAGTGGGAAACACTTATGAAATTTGATTCACTTATTTATTGAAATTTATTTATTGAAATTTTATGTGGTGACTAGTAAAGGTGAGTGGGGTGGTTCCACACCCCCATAAGGTGGGGGTTTGGGGGGCGATAGTGTTGGTTGGTTTGTTTGTTTGTTTTCTACCTTAAATTAATTGCTTGGTGATTGGATTGACATAGTGAACACAGTCAGGACTTTAAAAAATGACACAAATATTTATAACTCAGGGTCCGCCGACCCTAGAGCAGACCTCTGTGGAGTCGTCAAGTAAGGAAATATCAGTGTGTCTGAGCCAATACACACACACAAACAGACACAAAAAAAGTAATATTTTAAAAAGTGCTAGAGAAGCAAGCTCAGTTTCTCTAACCAATAGCAGAAAATTAGCAATTTTGAGACAGTCTTGAAGTGTTTTCATAAAGCTGAAGCATTTCCAGGTGTTTAACAACTGAATCTTTTCATGAGAAGGGAAGCCTTGTATTTTCTTTCCTAAAAGAACATTTTGATAACATTGATTTTTATTTGTGTTCTATCTTAATGTGTATCTTTCTCTACCAATTAATTTATAATTCTGCAATTCTTTGAGTAATAGCTATAGTGCATCATTACCTTCAATATTAATTAGTTGATATAGTAAAATAAATACCTCCATGAAAGAGCAAAAAAAAATTGGTATGATTTGACATATTTGGCTTGAGATAATTGAGAATTTTGGACAAAACATTAAAAAAATACATAAAGTATTTCATATTAGAAGAAACACACTCATTTGACAGCTGTTAAAATCTCATCCAGAAAATAGAATCATGGTTTTTTTGGTCACCACCTCAGACCACTGTGGTGTTTTTTATTCATAATACAATTCAAATCTGGGCCTACCAGCTCCACAGGCTGTTCCCATGCTGTGCTGCCTTATCATGCCCACAGCAGAAGAACAGGACCCTCTCTGAGGTGCTGCTGACTCCTCCATGTACAACTCCTTGACATGCTCACAATCTAAATATTTGAGTCTTCTGCCAGGTAGGTGGCAGGCCAGGGAACGTGACTTTGTCCCCGGGAACAGACAGTGACAAGGACTCTGCTACTCTTGTACCTTTGGATGGTGGGGTTGTGATGTTGGCTTCGGCAGAGGGTCCAGCACCAACCTCATTTACTGCCACAATACTGAACCTGTGGTAACACCAAAGAGACAGGTTTTTGGTCGGCAGGTTTCTTGAGAAAGATTGCCTGAGAAACATTTTATCAAGCAGGGAAGCTGCTACAGAAGTGCTTGACTTCCAGACAATGCCCGTTTAAATATAACCCCTTGGGAAAATTTAGAACAAAAACTAAACCAACCAAAGTATTAACTGCCCAAAGGCAGAACAACAACACAATCTTCTAAATTTCAATTCAAAATAAGTTTTCAGACTCAGAAGAACAACTCAACTTCATTTCAAAGGAAGATCTGTATTTACCAGTACAAGCAGAATACATACCCTTTGCATTTAACAAAAACTGAGGAATTTTTCCAGAAGCTTAAAGAACTAGAGAAGACTGCTCTATCTTTCTCCTGCTATACTAAAAACATGCCACACAAGCCTAAAAAAATTTAAAACAGCAACTAAGAAAATATAGCCTATATCAAGTTGCTTTTCCTTCCTCACCATCTGACTTCTGCAAAAGCAGCCAGATTACCTGGGACAACTCTGTTACCTCAAGGAAGGTGTCCTTGCTTTTGGCAAGAATTTAAGTAAATAGCATAATTGTGCAGAAGTGGTATTAATGTATACTTGGTACTATTTGGGCAAGAAGTGTGACTTCATAGCTGGCCATGTTAGCTGTCTTTTCTTTTGGTACCTGTAAGTGGTGTTTGGGAAGGTGGAGTAGAACTGAAAACTGTGCCCTCTTGAGGCTCTCAACAATTCATGTTTCTCACTGGTCAGGAGCAAGTTATATCCAATAATCAATCCATTTGGAAAAAGTGGTGGAGACCAACTAACTTCAACAGTGTTTGGACTTGAACTCTGAATGTCTTTAATGACAGGAGCTGTTGCAGGAACTGCAAGACAGAAATATCTGACTCTAGTACTTGATTAAGACTTTTTTTTTTCATTTTTAAATGTATTTTTAGGTTTCATATCTGTTAATTCATTTATACACCAAAAAATATTATTAGGGACTGTTACATTTCAACAACATTTCAGGGTTTTTTTTAACATCCAGGAAAACAGGATTGTGTTTCAATCAAACACATGCATAATTACGTACAAAAGTATCCCATGTACCCTCATGATTTTGACCATGTACTTTTCTGTGTTGCTTTTAAAACCAAAAGCAGGGAGAAGCCGTAAATCTTCTAGGTCAAACAAAAAGAACCTATAGTTCTTTAGTTTGGTCTTCTGCAGATACTCAAGAGACAACATAGATTCTGAAGACTAGGCACCAATGTTTTCTGCCAAAGTAACAGCAATGAAACCCAAATGTTTCTGTTAAGTCCTGAAAGATGGAATTAATAGTGCAATTCCTTACCTCCAAAAGCCTGTGTCCGGTAGCTGGGACTAGGTGGGGAATGGAGCTGCAGCTGAGATGTAATGATCCAAACTACTTGAAACACGTATTCTGTGAAGGCCTGAAGGTCTTTGACGGTATATGAAGTCTCAGATACTACCTAGATTAATGCACAAGCACAATTGGGCTCTTCCTCCCTCCAGCTGCAGCTACTATGTAGGATGTTATGAGGGCAAAAGAGGTCTCATACAACAACATACATATTTCAGGATAAAAAAGGGCAGCATCCCAAGTTTAATTAAGAGGAAATTCTCAAAGTTTTTTTCAGCACAGACTTTGATTTTCCATCTCTTCAGAACATTTTCTCTTCTCTTACTTCAGAACATGGCACCAAATCTCAACAATGAGCAGGTGGATCAAAGGATTTATGCAATATAATAGTAAATTTTAAGAAAAAAAATTTTAAAAAAAGCTAAAAAAGTACCATATTACAAGCAATGTATGTTAAACATATAACCACAGGTTTCAGATACAAAGGATCCTAGTTACACTGAAATATTTACTGTCTGAAGTAATTGCTCCCTATTATTTAATCAATGATTCATTCAGAATAACTTCCTGCTTAGCAAATTGTCTTTACCTTTGATTTGTGGCACCAACTTGTCATGCCCTGTAAATTGGTCCAATAGAGATGATGGCAAGATAACAAGTGTACAGATGACGCAAAAGAACAAATTATGAGAATAACTCCACTGAGTCAGAACAAAGGTCTTTCTAACCAAGTATTGTGCTTTGACAAGAACCAAAAAAAATTCTCAAGGGAAAGGTACAGGGAAAAAAAAAAAAAAAGAAAAGAAAGCCTGCAGCCATATTTCTCCTGAATATTCTCATTGGTATTTCACAAGAGCATGGCTCAACATGAAACAATGGGAATATTTGCATTTAGAACTCGATTTTTTCTTCCGCTAATTTTTCCAGTCACTTTTCAAACCTGATTTAGTAATTTTCACAATGTTAATATTCAGGAGTTTAAATTTAGCAATTTAACATCCACACATGCCAGGAAGCAGCTGAACATTTCAAATACTCATTCAGTGAGGAAATGAATTTTGCTAGTTTTGAACCTGTACCTCCAACCAAGGTCCCTGGTACCTGTGTTGGAGGAAATGGGGCATAAATAATCCACTGCTTCTCAGCTTCCCCATGCCACTCATGATTTTGAAAATCTCTTTCATGTACCTAACATATTATCCAATATCTTTCTAAAAAAACACCAAAAAACAAACAAACAAAAAAAAAAAAAAAAAAAANCAAAAAACAAAACCACCAAAAAAATAAAAACCAAAACCAAAAAACCAACCAAACAAAAAACCCTAAGAGCAGAGAAGAGCCAATTTCCTTGCAAAGTAAAAGAAGTGTCCTCCCTTACCTCTGTGTACCTCCAGTCACCAGGGAGCTTGTTGAACTTCCACTGGATAACATATTTCACCCCAGAGATGTTAGCTGCCTTCCACCCTAGTGTGACACTGTGGTTTCCAATGACAGATGCAAATGGTGCACTAGGTTTGTTCAAGTAGTCTGAGGGGAAAATACAATATAACAGGAAGAAAAAATCTTTCATGGCAATCTCTGCATCTCAGAGGTAAAAAGCTTTTTCCTCACACATCTGAAAGCTGTGAAGCCCATAAAAACACATAAAAGAATATATTGAAAATGTTGAGTAACTTGCATGGCATTTTAAAGACAGTTTGCTACATCAGACAGAAATGGGCTGGGTTCAATGTGAGTTGTGACTACTACCCCATCCTTGTGTAAGTCCATTTTTATTTACAGTTACTTAGTAAAATTTTTATGAATAAAAACATAAAGAAGGCATGAGAGACTTGTGAAAAGATTTTCAAGGGGACTACTTCAATAACACTGTATTGGCCCAAGGTATCATCTTAAACAGTTGAGACTGGATTCAAAAAGTCTCATATCCATGAAAGGGAGGGAAAAATGTTTTACTCCAAGATAAACTTCAGTGTATTTGTTAAAACAAAAAAGAAGAGTGGTAGTTTTCTGATTAATGAAAATACTCAAGATATTCCTATTTTTTAAATAAATCCAGATCATAGAATAAGACTATGAATTTATCAGACTGTCAATCGGACACAGGACTCTATTCAGACTTACTTAGTGCTTCAACTCCATATGCATCCTCTGCACAGCTACAGCCAAACTTACAGGAAACTGTCTGTGTAGGGCACAGAACTCACTGGTTAGCTTTGTGTAAAGGCAAACTTCCTTCCAGAATCATGCAGACACATTTTAAATACATACAAATTCTGTGGACATTTTGCATATACACAAACCCTGTGGAAATAATTATATGAAATCTCAAAAGTAGCACTACCATGAACTCACTCCAAAGATTTTCTTGAGAGCCTTTTCATCAATTCACTGGGCCCTGAATTAAAGGTTTCCTCCTTACACACTGTCCCTTTGTGGAAAGAATGAACTAGTTTACATAGTTCATTACAGTTGGAAATAAACTTCAGTGATCACCATGGAGTCAGGAAGACAAAGTTTTTGACTAGTCAGTAATAAGTTCCACATGTTGCATTTCACATGTTGCTTCATCTATTACCTATGAATGAGGAAAATTCATACAGCAGCAAATTTTATAGTGATAATCAACCTTTAGATCATTCAGAAGCAATTCATTATGGCAAGTGAGGAAAGTTTTTAATTGCTCTTCCTATGATTTGAGGAAACACCCTTCCAGCACCCTATGAAAACTAGTAAGATGTTATTTCAGACAGCACGGTTGCAACCCAGACACATTTGAAAACTTGCTTAGCTGTGTATTCTTACATACATAATGTCACATCTAGACGTTCAGTGCCAAGTGCAAGCACTTGTAATTTTTTTCCAATATTTTAATCTTCAGAGAAATAAAATACTTTCAGGTATCCAATATTTTAATCTTCAGAGAAATAAAATACTTTCAGGTAAATTATCTGCTAGCAGGTGAAAATTCAGGTATTAGCAGATATAAATTATCTGGTGTGCACTGGAGCTTTAATTTACAACCAATATTCCTTTGTTTTAAGGGGTAGTGTCCCCAGATTACATGCTGATTCATAGTGCTTTCTGCCTCATTTAACACAGGTGTTTCTGAACATTTGTTTTTCGTTATGTTATTCTTTCTTCTGATCTTTATCTGAACCTGAACCATAAATCCAATTTTTGCTTGAGGTAAGAGGTTTGCTAAATGTCCTAACCTTAAATTTTGAGGGAAATTTGCCAGCTGGTCTACTTGAAAACAATAAATCCTCGTATTTTCTCCATCCATCAGCAACATTCCTATATAAGCCACAGTCTGATGTCTTTTCTTGTGACTATTCCCATGAAATTCAGTGGCAAACCCCTGTTCCTAGGTGGAAGGAGAAATACTACCAGATTTCAGTCCCAAGGTGCATTCAGACAACAGTACTGAGCTAATGTCAAAGAAAAAATCCCACTCTTACTCCCACTCCTTTGCTCTGCAGGCTGAAATGACCTGATCCTCTGGATGCAGTGACACAGTGCATGCCTGACATATGGATAGTCAAGTCAGTCAGCTGATCCAGTGGAAAGATAATCCCAAAAAAAGCCTTTGCAGAGTCAGCACATTTAAGTGACACATTGCATGACCAGACAGGCAAAAAGCCCCCAACACAAAAGCAACAAAACCCCTACACCCATTTTATGTTTCTACAAAAGCTATTTGGTTACTTCTTAGACTGTTCCTACACTCCAAAACCACCATTTAGTGCATTAGTAAACCTTTGTCATCATCACAATTTGATAGACTAAAAAACATTACCAAAAAAAAAAAAATTCTTCCACTCAAATGGAAGTGTTCTACTCAAGACTCTCTCTAACTCCTCCATCACCTCCTTGAAATGTTTTGCTTCCATCTGGGAACAGCCTTCATCTTGAGGTCTCAACAGTGCCAAACAAATCTTTCAATCATCTCATCCCCATCCTATCCTACCCTGCCCTCAGTGTTCATGCTAAAGGGCCCATCTCTTTACTAGCACTTTGTTGACCCACACTCATCACTGTGAACACCAGTCCATCCACAGCACTCCCCACTTGATATCTCTTTCTGAAGGGCCACATGTTGCCCCTTACTTGCATTTTATTTCATTTAGATTCTATCCAGTCAAGAGTTTTGTCTCCTAGCTCCCACTCTTTGTTTCCACTTCTTGCTCAGCCTTAACAAGTATTCTCTCTGGATAGTCTTCAATGGAAATAATGAAGAATTGGATGAACAACACTCTTGTGAGAGTGTAGAACATGGTTTACATAGATCTGTCCTATTTCATAATACTGAGATTAGTCTGCTTTCTTTACAGCAATGTTCTTTGTCACACAGCAGTTTTTAATACAAACCTGTCCTTGGTCACCATGCTGAAAAGGTATGTAACTCATTCTTCAGCTTTAGGGAGTACAAAAGAATAAGATCTGAGTTGGTAAGTTTGTGTATCTACATTGTATTTCTTAGCACTGTGTGGACAGAGCAGTCACTGAAATAGTGATGTTTTTGTATTGCTCTGATGGCATTTAACTTACCTCACATGCTCTAGTATATGTCTCGTTCTGCCAAGAAACAAATTCATAGAATGTGGGGTTAGCATAAATATAATCACAGAGTATTTCAAACAGATAACATCAATTTATTAGAATTTCTTACAGTGAAAGTACATTACAAAACTTTATCACTGGCAAACAATGAAAGAAGGAAAACCCACACTTGAAAAAACAGAAAGTCAGCATTAGGGTGATGCTAAGGTTGAATGAAATTCAGCTGTTCAAGAGATGTAGAAAAATTAGAGGTTTAAAAGCTATCATGGTAATTGTCTCAGATCAATGCTAGTTCTCATCCACCTGGTTTAGCAAAAACAAGAAATAAATCTACTGAGGGCCATGTGCTTCATTTCCATCTGCATGCAACTCTGAAATAGCCCCAGTAGAGTAAAATCCTGAAAAGCACTAATGCATTCTCACTATCTAAAAATCTGTGTTGAGTTTAATGAACCATAAAATGCATATATTCTGACAAACTCAATGGAAAATTTTTATATCAGAGGCAACTTGCTTAACAAGAATTATTAATTCCCAAAACAGAATTTATAAGGAACTGGTAAAAAAAATATAGACTTCTTTTCATAGAAATACTGCTCTGATTGTATTTTGAGTGTCTGCCATTGGATAAGAAACTTGACAGGAGACAAGTGCTGTAAAGCCAAACTCAGGTAATACTCACACACTTCAGTGGACAGTCAGTTTGCACAGTTGCATTCCAAAACTGACATCCCTGTGTACACTGCAAAGACAGAGGATGGCTTTAAAAATGACTTTGAAAGCCGAATTCTAAAGGCAAGGGATACTCCAGCATTAGCAATATATTAAAGGTACATATGGGTATTATAAGTACTCAGATCCTACTGTAAGAGTTATGTTGTATAGTGCCCTTCTCAATGTAAAAACAAATATAAAGCAAGATAAATTCAGTGTTGTTCTGGGAATGAGTTAACTCAGCCGGCTATGGTGTGACCAGCGCTCCCTCCCTCCCAGCTTTATTTTATCACTGTGCAGAAGCAGCATACATGCAGTGTGCAGCACAGCAAAGCACAGAGGAAAGATGCTCAGCACAAGCCCTCCCACATATGCTTGCCAATAGGCATTCAGTTTTCAGAGAAAAAATTAAATATTATATCATTCAGTTTTGATGTTGGACCTTTCTTGTTTATGCTGTCCCATCTAATTCTTAGTGGTTGAGAAGGTTTTTCTTTTTAAAGGGAAGATGGAACTACTTTAAAAGCAGAAGACTGATACTGAGTGTTTCAAAGCCTCATGAAAAATATAGTGAAGACTTGATAACACTGAGCAAAGATACTCAGTGACTTAAGCAGGTGAGTCAACCTTGCTATGTATTGTCATGACAACAGAGGCTTTTATGGTCCCAGCATCATAAACGGCTCAGCCTCACTAGATACCAGGTGCTTACATATTCATTAAAATGTGTTTCTTATCTAATACATGAACATCAGTTTCCTAGAAATAATGTCCATTTATCTGCCTCCTACTGGAAGTCCTGTTATGATCCTGAAGGTTTATCAAGAGTGGTCTCTGGTGGCCATATTCACTGAATGCTTCAATATTAAAAGTGACCTTTCCCTGAATTATTTCTTTGGGCATGTGCTGTTGACCTTGTTACATAACTTGCAAAAACCCTACTGTAGTCCTCTTTATATGTTTCTCAACTGGTTCCAGCCATGCTTATCATCCTGCATGCATATGTTTACATACTTTAATCTTTTTTTTTCTGCCAGTTAGCCTTTAAGCTCAATTCAGCAACTTCAGTGGAGCTGAAAAATTTTATTCTCCGTTATTTATCACCACCAGCTTGAATTGCATTTGCAATCTGAACTAGGAAATCAGCCAAAGTCCACCAAGAATGCTCCTATGGAAAGCTGGCATTAAGCCCCCATGACAGACACATGTAAGTGCTAGAGAACTCTAAATGTTCAACTATTAAAAGTTTTCTTACACTGAATCCCTGAGAAAACAAAATAAACTGCTTAACTCTACAGAAGTAACTGAATAGGACAGTCTTAATGATTTGCATGTTGGAGGCAGCACTGATTTTGAATCCTTGTCCATTTTCTCAAAAATGAGAGGTTATGAACTTTGTAGATCACAAATGTGAACATAACTCACATCAGAGATCATCATCCTTTACACATTTTTTAAATAAAAAAATATAGCCATGTCTCTAATAATTTGAACCAAATCTACCCACTCAACTTATGGCTTATGCTAGACAGGCAGCCGTGCACATTTTCCTGAAGTCTTTGAAAATATGATCATTGTATCCATTGTATTCAAACAGCAGGAACATAAAACAGTAATTAACAAAGTAAACCATTACTCACCGCTCCAGTGATGTCGCTAACATTGCAAAGGTTAGTAATTCCAAGTTCTCCTTCCTATAGGAAAAGACATCATTTTTTAAAATAATCAAAATATTTATCCAGAATTCTTTGATTAAAACACATTAAATCATTGGCTTCTTGTAAACCAAATTTTCTTTGGCTGATGTTTCCTCATCTGGAGAAATTTATTGTTGACCCACCAGTAGCTTCTCACTTAAGACTAATTTCAGAGATACCATCAAACAAAGACATTGGCAGAATCAGTCGGTGTTAAATTATCTGAGGTAGGAATTTGGCTCTTACCTCCCCATTCTGATTCACTGAGCCAATAACAAACGCTTCACAATTATGTTGGGCTTAAATGACAAAGCCAAGTGGCTTTGACCTCTTGGGAGAGGAAAGACCTTCCTTCAAGCTAAATGCCTTTTGTCTGGCCGTTTTTTGAAGGAGTTCCACCCAGCCACATGGTGATCGCCACCATCCTTCCTCTCCTGCCAGAAGTGCTCTCCAATGAATGTGCCTGTTTTTCCACATCATTCAAAGTGTGCAAAACCTATCACTGTCACTGAAGTGCAAATGATTTGAGGATGCATACAACAACCTTAGAGAAGCTGAATAGCAGCTCTTAAAGTTTTGACCCGAAACCAGGTAAGAGCAGCTTTAATAAAACAATTCACAGGAAGAAATTTTCAGCACACTAGGTAGACCGTGACAATAGTGAGAATCAAAGCTGTCACAAAAAAAAAAAAAAAAAAAAAAAAATCGAACACAACAAATAGACCAGAGAAGAAAAATAAGATTTACGACTCTCAAACTCGAAGATTACCTTTTTCACACCTGAATCAATACATTCACTGAACATAAATGTGATTTTCCTGTCTTTCAAAGCTGAAAGGAAGAGCAATTTATTTCTTATTCTGGATTAATTTAAACTCAAATCAAAGGATCCCCATTAAAGTTATCATTGCATGATAGGCTTCCACCAGGGAAGCCAATTAACTCTTTCACTGGTGCAAGAGCTCCAAATAGTTTTAAAGGAACTGTCAGGCAAGAGTATGAAATAAAATAGAGCAGGTGATAGTTCTCTGCAGCATGTTCCCACAATTAGCACCAACACAAAAAATGTCCTTTTTAAAAAGCAAAGATACACAGTGCTCTAAACCATATCAACATTGCTGGCAAGGAAGTGACTCCTGAAGGCAGAATAATTGTCTAGATTTCAAAGGTTTTGCTTATCTTTGTGTTGCATTCATAGAAGGAAAAATAATAAATTCTGGAAACTATTCAAAGGAATATTAAGAGTGTATAAAACTAAGGATTTGACCAGTAATTTTAATACTTACATAAATATCCACATTTTAAACCAGCTAATTTAAAAATTAAGTTGCAACTAAGTTCAGGATAGCTGTGTGTGTCAAGATTCCCAGAAAATTTCTTGTGACTTTACAGTTTTCCTTGATTATGTAAAGAAAAGCCCTGGACTAGACTGAAATAAATAAGTAAAGTGAATAAACTGAAAGAATAAAAATTTCTCTTCCCCATTCTCCAGGGTCTTCAGCATTTATAGTAATTGCATGAAGTCAGAGTAGAGGCATTTGCTCCTTACCAGACTCCACAAATTCAAATGTTAAACATTAATTCTCAAACTCTGTTAGTTTTAGTAAAACACATTCTTTAGAGTAATTTTGGAAACTGATATGCAATATGAAGTTCTTACAGTGCTAACAACAATCTGTATTTCAAAAGGTTAGGTACAGGTTTTGAAAACTTACCAGGTTACTTGTACATAAGTTTTGGCAGTTCCTTGAGAAAGCACAGTACGCTGCAGAAATCCATAGGCAGGAAAAAGCAATGAGCCTTTTTAGTGGGAAAACCCACAGGCCAGTGTTCCTCATAACTTAAACGATTTCATCTGTTCATCTCACTCTTCCCTTGACTTGGCCATACAAACTCCTTTTAGTCTAGGTGACCGAGGTGCAACTGTGACATTTCTGCGTGTCAGATCATTGAAATACTTCTTGAATCCTTGTTTGCACTCTGTTCCCTCAACTACTTCTCAGCTTCCTGGATCACTTGTCTTGAACTTATGCAACCTCTATTTCATAGTTTCTTATTAAGCCACTGAGACAAAAGGGTTGACCAATGAAAGTCACTGTATCTTCTTACACAAATATCATTAACGTAAAAAGGAAACTAAGAGCAATGCTTTTAATCAGGTGCTTCGAGGCACATGGAAACAGGGAAACGGTGGGAAAAAAATGCCCTAATGTTAATTTTGACTAGGTTAAGCTATTTCTATATATTTGTACGTGACTGCAACTAAGAAAATTTGGTGCTGGTGGTGATGATTAAAAATTTTGTTAGAACACCACTGCTCATATCAGACATGGCAAAAATCTTAATTAATCTTTTTCTGAATATTTCCGAATGTTCTACTGCCACACCAAAATACCACGCAGAACAGACCCGTGTCTGCCTTCAGACACAATCTAGACACAAACTAACTAGAGCAAATTTGATAGGGGTTCTCTAGATGAGGAGGCACAATTGTATAAGTAAGTTTGCATCCATATCATGGAAGAAAAATGAAGCTGACAGATAAACCGTGTGTCTGATTTAAAGAGTGGTGAAGAGTCTTACATGAAGTTGAAGACTCACATTAAAGAGGTCTGTGGAAAGACAAACTTAGGATACATCCAGGTCCTGGTCTGTGGCACCAGGAGACATATCCACAGAGTAATTCTGCTGTAGAAAATCAATCCAGCTTGCACATACACACATACATATGTATACATATGCAAATGCTATGTCATTTTGTGCATGTGTATTACTCATCATAAATCAAATGTTCTACTTTATAAATAATATAGCATTTTGATGATCAGTTGAGGCTGGCACATTCTGTTACTGCTGCTTAGAAAGGGTACCTGCTTTTCCACCATACCTTTCCAAGCCCCATTCACTTGCCAAGGAAACATTTCTGGAGTCATGCAATAAAACAGGCTGAGAACCTGAATAACACTAACCCAGCAACAGCAGAGGTGAATTGGTTGGCATTAACCTGATGCTGCCTTTTTTTGGCTCAGGCTCTAGTACAATGTCCTGTGCTGTTCTGTCCATGCAGTGAAAGGAGTCAATGCACTTAGGCAGGAGGAAAGGGAAAGTCAGGCTGGGGACAGACAATAAGTATAGGGAAGCACGTGGCTCAGTGTGGTTCAAGGAAGGAAAGGCTTTTAGGACCAGGTTCCTTCCTTTTCTTCCAGTTGTCCTGGGAAGCATTGGAGAGATTTCCTTGTGCATTATCTCAATCTCCTCACCATTACTCAAGGGAACTTCCAGATGAGAGTAAGGCTCATCTAGGGTGAGATTTGCTTTCAGCTAAGGGGTTGAGGCCTTTAGCTGAAAGCAAATCTTACCTTTTCAGCTTTTCAGGTGTGGGGGAATTACTACCCGATTTGCTTGTCACTTCACTCCAGACCGATGCTACCCCCACTCCAGCCCATGAGCAAAGCTGCTCAAGAAGCATCTCCTTAGATCCAGCCAAAATAAACCAGTTTAGTCTGACTGCTTAAATGGTAGGTCTCTGCTAATCCAGCTCATCTTGGCTGAAGAAGTTCCATCAGAGCTCACATGACCAGCAACACTGAAGAGGAAGCTGGTGACAGGCAGATGGAAGTTGCATTTTCCTCCTGAGGCAAAGAACTTTGGCTTTGGATAGTTAGGACCTTCAGGATTTGGTCTCTAGGACTTTTAGGTCTATGCTAGTAAATTCAATGTAACTACATCAATACCCTAGCAAGTAGCATGGGATAACCCACACCCACAGTTAAAAAATCTCTAATAATCGAAGATGATAGGCACTGCTGAAATACTTATGGACAATGGCTCTTAGACTTACTATATCCTAAACTGTTCCTGGATATTATTTGTGCTAGTGCTGATGTGAATCAAAATCAGAGTTCAACAACTGATCCATGTGGCCACTCAGGATTAAGAATGCTAGCTGGCATGGATTTAAATTATTAACTTAGATGTAGTGCAGGTAAAAAAATATGCCTCAGTTCAAACTTTTTTTAAAAAAAATCTTTTAATGGTATTTAAATAGTCAACATATTTTTAAAATTTGTTTTGTGTTTTTTTTAAGGAACTGTTTGATTGTTAGGATGTCCAGGCTATTTTTTCAGGATGTATAGGGAGAAGCACTGGGAGATGAGAAACTCAGAATCATAGAATCATTATAGTTGGAAAAGACTTCCAAGATCACCGAGTCCAACCTCTGACTGCACACCCCCATGCCAACTAAACCATAGCACTAAATGCCAAGTCCAGGGGTTTCTTGTATGCTTCTAGGGACAGTGACTTCACCAGGTTAAGAACCAGGTTAATTCCTGTGAGGAATGTAATCAAGGTGAATCTTAAAGTCTGAAGCAAAAGCCCACAGCACTATAACAGTAACAAAACAGTGTTTGGCTTTTTGGACAAGGAAATTTGGTTGCTATCAAACACACATAACGAAACCTTTGTAACTGGTAAGCTTGGCTGTTATTGATGAGGATAATTCTTGTCAGTGAGCCTTTGCACACTTATATAGGGGTAGTGCACACATGCCTTGCACAAATGGGCTGTAACCATGACAGTTAGTTAATAAAACAGTAATATTAAAGACACTATGCAAACGAAGTACTCAAATGGTGCGGAAATTTTCCTTAAACTTCCAACACCGTTTTCCACCAGGTGTCACTGTAACATCCCATAATCCACGACTTTCAAAGAAAAAAAGCGCTGAAATATCTCCTGTCTTGTTTACCTTCCTTTGAACATGTTGGGAGAAAAAATAGTAAGAGTCACTCGAATCTTAGGATTTTTAACCGGAATTTCAGGAATTCTACAAGAAGAGAGTACTTATGGGTTTTAGAAGCCGAACTTTAAAAGGACTATTTGCAATATCTGTAAATGACAAAGCATTAAGTATAATTTTTAAGTACATCCCTTCCATAACACTGCCCCCGACATGGAACTAGAGATCCAAATTTTGTGAGATATTGTTAATAAACCTTGTCCTTTATACTAGAAATATCCTGAAAGAATATAATTTCCTTTATCCCAAAGACTATCGCAAGGAAGATGTGCTTGCAGACCAGCACATCTGCAAGGGAGAAGACTCAGAATGAAGAGAAAAATAGAGAAAAGAAAACTTGATCACAATTCCTTACCTGGACAGAAGTACATATCAGAGCTCTTTACAAACTATGGATTCATCTTTCAAGTTCCATTGAGTCTTTTTTAAGAGAAGTAGAACTATGTACAGACAAATGGTGAGCCCTGATAGCAATGAATAAGGGCAATCATACCTTGAGGAGAAATAAGTACATTACTACTGCCAGTAAAGTGAGTAACCAGCAGCTTCTTTATACCTGAAATTGTCATGATCCATAAAGACAAACCTTTCCTGTACATGAACATGCACACCACTGTGCATATGTATACATGAATGTATGATATAAGCAGACTAAGGATCAAAGACACAGAGCTTTAGTGCTTTGCTGCACTTACAGCAGAGATTAAAATTACTGGCTCAAGGTGGGTTGGCAGCCTTCTCTACCATTCACCCCAGTGCACAGTCACAGGCTGCTGCACATACAGCCAGAAAGATCAGCTGGGAAACACCTTCTGGGTTGCCCAAAGCTTACAGCCCAACACATTAACATAAACTGATGGCAACTTCAGCTTATTTTAATAGTACAGGGCAAAAGCTCTCAAATGGTCAGCTCCCAGCTGATCCAGACCTGGAGCTGTACCATCATTCCTGCCCTTGCAACAGCAACCTCCATCACAAAAGTGGGCCAAAATACTCAATGTAATAGCCACTCCAGTAATCTAATTTTAATGTCTCACACTTTCGAGTTAGGCACCTAAAATCTCATCAAATGAAACAATTGTCTGTGTGCTGCCACTTAAAACACATTTGTGCATAGTTTCACAAAACGGCAGCACATAGCAAGAATTGGCAGGACAACAAAAACTGAAGATGGGATGGCTGAGGAGCCAGGCAGGGGGACACCCAAAGCCCACAGATGTTTGTGTCTAATCTGGGCTGTTTGTGTCCAGTCACACAGCACTAAAAATTTCTCGAAGATAGACCACCGTTCATGCATCCTATCTTGATGGGAAAGAAAGCTGGGAGAGGTGAGAAAGGAGAGACTGTCAATCCCTCAACCAGCCCACAGGGCAGAGCAATGAAAAGGAACATCTCAGCTTTTACTTATCAGTTTCTACCTTCTTTGTCTTCGGGAGGTCATCTTGAAAAGATATGCTGATGTGAAGCACTCACTAAGTGATGACGGATTTTCACTCTTTTCCAAAGATCATAGATTATTCTCATTTTCCCTCCAGCAATGGGCTCCCATTAGATTTTTAATTTCTTAGTAAAGTAAGTGAGCAAGGGCCCTTAGGGCTAAAAGCTTCCCTCCACTGCCCTGGCCTCCTTCCTTCCCCTTTTATTTGTTAGTGCAACTGCTAAGACAGCTGTTTGTCTGGCAATAGCAGCCAGTCGGGCAGGGAGTGCTGTGCACAGACAGAGGGAAGGCCATACAAGAGAAACCCCCTGGAGTCTGGCTCAAGATTTATATCTATCTCTGCAGATTAGAGAAGTGGGGCTGGGGAGGGGGGGAGAAACAGACTGTTAAACTGGATCAAATTGGAAAGACAGTCATGCATGAGATCCTTAGCTAAACCAGTCAGGAGACAGGGATTTGCTCCTATTGATCTGCAGTAATGATGACTGGAGAAATGTCTCATTAAATGATGCACAATGATGGATTTCAGACTAGGCAAATTTGAGCTGTGGAGATTAACAGGAAGAGATGTAAAAGCTAGGCCAGGAGAGAAAATATAAGGAATGCTAAAGGGTAACATGGATCTATAAGTATATTGCTAGAAAATTAAAATAAAAAAGAAAAATAATATATTTGGTTTATTAAACTATGTTTGAGTGAT